GTTAGACTAGCCACAATAAGAGTAACTTGAGCAATAACATCGAGTCCAACTCAACAATTTGCTTATATGGCAATGGGTTAATGAGGAGAGAGGTAATTACAGTAACTTAGCTAGTTACTGTAACATCACATGTCTCAATGTAATATGAGTCTATAACCTAATAAATGAACCTTTGCATGACACTACACTTATGTTACTACCCACTATGAAGATAGTAATATAGTCTAGAAATATGTGTATGTTCTCTCTATTGTGGCTAGTCTTAGAGCAATTTGTCGGCCAGTCGCACATCAGCCATTGAATGGGTTGGCCCACTCTTGTGATCAGGACATGGAGCGATTTTCTTCCGTTTTTTTTTATTTTTCTCTCAGAAAAAATAGGCTGCAGTAGAAAGGTTGGAAAAAATCATAAAATTGAAAGATATACTAATGTCTTTATTAAAAAAATATCACATAAAATAAAAAAATCAATATTTTAAAATATTGTTCATAAATTTTAAAATGTTCTCAAATTTTGGAAAATAAACTCCAACTTAAAACTTCTCATTTATTCTAAATATATATTCTATAAATATGAAAAATGTTCTGGATTTTTAAAATAAAAATAAATAGTAGAAAAGGAAAAAATTAAAAACTAGAAGAAAACCGCAAATATTCTATTAAAAAAAGATAGAACGAAAACAAGAAAATAAAAACTAAGAAATACCCACAGGACAAAAAATGGAAACTGATATTGCTTGGGTCAGTTAGGCTAATCCACCTTCGTGTCACTATGTGTGGTTGTCGTACAAATGGCCGCAACAAGTGGTAAGGTCATCTCCAACATCGACCCTCAGAACGCCCGCACACGTCTGGACCGCACTGTCTGGACATGTTGTGTCATCCAACGTGGGCCTGTTTCGGTCCGCAGGGCGATCCGGACGTATGCTACTTGTGAGCTGCGTTGGGATTTTCTCTGAAGATGAAGGGAGAAGCAATATAGTAGCGGATAGTATTTCCCTCAGTAGAGAACCAAGTTTATCGAACCAATAGAAGAACAACGCAAACACCCGTCAAATAGTACATGCACATATAAGAGCAAATACTTGCACTCAACGCGGGCAAGAGAGTCGTCAATCCCCTTATACTCGTTAATTGCAAAGATTAAATCTGGTATATGTAGATAGGTAAATTGCAAAGTAAAATAAAAGAAAGAAAATTGCAGCAAGGCATTTTTTTGTAATATGATTAAAATAGACCCAGAGGCCATAGTTTTGACTAGAGGCGTCTCTCTCGTAATAATAGCATATGGTGGGTAAACAAATTACTGTTGGGCAATTGATAGAAAAGCGCATAGTTCTAATGTTATTTAGTTGAAAACTCCTTCCTATTTAGCCATTTTTCTCTCCCTCTGAGCTTCAACGTTTTTACCGTTCCAAGGCAACGACTCCATATGTACGACCTCCTTTGGTTTGAGAAATTTTATATGAATTATGTAGGATAGGGTTCCTATAAAAAAGTCTCTAGAGCCCTTTGGTTTGTAGGAATAATATAATTTTACTCCTATACAAAAATTGTCCTACCCTTCACATTTTAAAGAATAATAAACATTAGCCTCGACTTAATGAAAAAAATCCTATCATGTAAACCAAAGAACATTTTTTTCCTTTTCACATTCATATGATTTGAAATGCACGACATTTTATTCCATGAACCAAAGGAGGCCTACTTATTTACTTTCGGAAAATACAAGTCCATTCAGACATTGACAACCGTTCCAATTAATACAAAACTTTGACCCGCCATTTCTAAAAAATATCTTAAATTAAAATAACTATATGTTTTGAACAATGCTGTAGCCAGGATTTTGATTCAGGGTGCTTCAACTAACATAAAAATACACCATAAATTCAACATACCAACGCACCGGTATAAATTTAATCAAATGCATGAATGGATAAGGTCTTTCAAAGCATATTAAAATCCACGCTTAAATGTCAAGTTTGCATGAAAAGAAATAACACACCTTCTTTGCGAGGGCCATGAAAGCCTTGATTATATCATCTTCATTCACTTTGGAGAAAAGCAACTCGCTGTCATATGACTCAGCAATCATCCAAAAGACTATCAACAACCATCATATTTTAAATTAAAAGAAATGAAGCCGTACTTTAAACCATCGGAGATTGAAAACTGGGGTGCTCATGCGTCCTGCCTCAGGGTGTGCGCCCATGCACGCTTTGCCATTCGTGAGTCTACTGCCGCCAACGAGTGCCCTGTCGGTAGCACAGGTCACCGGCTCACCGCTAGGCGTTGTCACTCACTGTTGCGCTAGTTCACTTGGGTTTGAGATTGATGAGAAGAGAATGATAGCGAATCATGAACATCCTCAAACGATCAAAGATGGTGTACCCATAGAAGAAGACAATGAGAGGAAACAAAGGGAGCTGATGTTTCTTAAAAAAATGATCACGGAAAGGTTAAAAAAACATAAGCCATTGCTGCGCTACTTCACTATTTGCCGCTCGTTGGGGCAATTTGTCGGCCAGTCACACATAACCCATTGAGTTGGCTGGCCCATTTTTGTGATTAAGACATGGGAGCGATTTTCTTTTGGTTATTCCAGTTTTCTCTCAGAAAAAAACAGCTACAGTGGAAAGGTTAGAATATAAAATTTAAAGACATACTAATGTCTTTCTTTTCAAAAAATGACCACAGAAACTTCAAAATTGTTCTCAGATTTTAGAAAATCTCAAATTAAAACAATTCATGTATTCTAAACAATGTTCTCTAATTTTAAAAATGTCTCAAATTTTAAAAAGAAAAGGAAAGGAAAAATATATAACAAAAAAGAAGAAAAACTATAAACAAACCAGGAAAAAATAAATTAAAAAATACAGAAGGAAAACTAAAAAAACGAAAACTAAGAAAAACACACATGGATGAAAAATGAAAACCGCTACTGCTTGGGTCAGTTAGGCCAGCCCACGCTCGTGTCACTATGTGTGATTGTCTGACAAATGGCTTCAACAAGTGGTAGAGATCACAACAGAACCTTTCTGGGAGCGCCAGTAGTTGTTTTCAAGAGTATTTCTGACCCAACTACACTCAAAGCACTTGCTGTCAAAGAAGACATGGACCTTTATGATGATCTCTATATTCGGTGGATTCATGTTGCCTTGGAGTGCAAGGTAGTGGTTGATGTTGTAGAGCAAGGAAGTTCTGTGAGCTACAGAGCAATCATCTATGAGACCATTGATCATTCGTCAGTTTTCATAATTTGTAATACAGTTCATGAATTTAGGAGCTCAAATATTAAAACTCTCAATCTAGCAAACCATTATTTATCTTTAGGAGCTGGCCGTCATGTTTGGTTAGGCCAGCCCGATAATCTTCCTTTCGTTCATGTAAACACTGTGAGATTTTAATAAAAGCTTTGCGAGATTGCCTAAAAAAGACAAATGGTTGCAATAAATGGTAAATAGTATTCGCCGAAGACGAACCAATCGTTCACTTGTACATGGTTTGCGCTGGGCCTCGTTCACTTAGTGGCTCGCCACTAATTATGAAAGTAATTTTCAAAAAGAAACTAGTAATGCCAATCTTGTGTTGTGAGAAAAAAAATATTTGGACGAACTTAGAAGTACCTAGATTTGTGACCAGATGGAGTAAAAATAGTGCATAATAAATTTGAGTTGAATATTTGCTTTTGCCACACCAATATACTCACAAAACACATTGACTCAAAATCTACTTCAGGTCATATAAAAATTTCAAATGTGAATAAATGTTAGTCCACGAACAAACATAGGTGCAGTGTTTTATATGTTCAACCTGGGGCATATATTGTTGTCCTTCAGTCATGCCTCGAGCTTCTCCTCTCCATCCTCTCTAGTTTTGGGCTTATCGTCTTCAATCGGTACACCCACAACTTGAGTTTGTCTAGACATTTGACGGGGCAGGGAAAATAGACATTCTTAAGCATATGGTGAATTGCCTACTACCATAGTTGCAACATACTTCTACAACTCCGATTCTAACAGAAGTTATTTCTTAATTTATACAATCCCCACAACAGTGTTGTATGCACATATTAAAAACATCTTTTTATTACGCAACTAATATTCATCTACAACCTCAAAATCATGTACACCCTAAATACATGTGCAATGGGCATATTTGCATGGAGTATATAAATACCCCCTTCGTCCCAGTGTCGACGTTCAACTTGCGCGTATGTGTGATGTGCATTTGGCTCTTTTGTGTCTCGGTGTTGACATTGGTACGATGTGCGTTGTTTGATGTGTGACGAGTTGCGTTTGTGGGTGGCACGTGTGTGGAAGGAGGTAATGTTGTTGTTTTTTTTGCGAGAAAACTTTTGATCTATTCATCTTCAATCATGGTAGTACAACGAATATCAGAAATAAAAAAATTACACCCAAATCCGTAGACCATCTAACCACAACTACAAGCACTGAAGCGAGCCGAAGACACGCCGCCATCATCCCACCTCTCTTGCTGGAGCCGGAAAAACCTTGTTACTTGGGAAGTCGTCGTGCTAAGACTCCGTACGACCATCACAATAGGACAACAACCGACGCCGATGAAGAGTAACATAGATCGAAAAGAACCAACCTGAACACACACAAGCATAGACAAACAACGACCAAATCAGAGCAGATCCACCAAAGACAAATCCACCGCACACACATATTGATGAGAACTGTCTTGTTGTTTCTATTGCATTGACGGCTTTTCGCTCTTTCACATGGCTAACATTTCTTAAGCAAAAGAAGAAGAACACATGTGGACGGGCGATGCTACACGCCGCCGGCTGACGGGTGGCCAACCGAGCCACGTTTGCGCCACGTCAACCCTGGCAAACCCCAATCGCTCCTCACTGAAGACGCGGCCGGTCAAAGCCGTCGCGAGCTCGCAAGCTCCCCTCCGCCGCGCGTGTGTTCTTCTCCCTGACGCAACCCACTTCCGCCGGCGCCGGCGAACGCTATCCCCCTCGCCGCCATGGTCACCCGTCTCCTCCTCGTCCTCCTCCTCACCTTACTATTCTCCACCTCCTCCCCCGCCGCCGGCTCGCCGCACATCTCCGCCGTCATCTCCCAGTCCGGCCTCGACTTCGCCAAGGACCTGCTCGTGCCCCGAGCCGCCGAGACCCTCGCGCAGCTGAGCGTCCCCGACATCGAGCGGTCCGTGAGCATCCCCATCATCGGCGCCGTCCGCACGGTCGCCTCCCGCATCGTGCTCGGCGGCGTGGCAGTCGCCGACTCCACCGTCGCCGCCGGGGACACGGGGGTCGTGGTGGCCGCCTCCCTGTCCAGCGTCAACCTCACCATGGAGTGGAGCTACTCGTACAGCTCCTGGCTCGTTGAGATCTCTGACAGCGGGAATGCTTCCATTCAGGTAATACGACCGACCGACGGGCTTCAGGCATTAGATTGGTTTCATGATGAAGTGTTGATGATGCTCAGAAGTAGAAGTAATTGCATCCTCAAGAATAGAAGTAAACCTAGTTATCTGAGAACTAATTCATATATACATCGGCTGTAAAGAAATTTTCATCTCTTCAGTAAGTACATGGGTGTCTATGTGTATTATTCAGTAGTACAAACTATTTTATGGGATAATGATATTTTTCCTACCTATTAGTGCAGCATGATTGTTTTACATAAGCTTCAATTGAAACAATACTCATATCTTGGCTACATATTGGTACCAGCATGACTTTTTTACTTAGGATTCAATTTGGTCAGCCTGCAGGATTGCTTTGACCAGCATATGACATTTTAGCACAATGGGGTTTTGAACTTACGATCTACTCCCTCCGTTCACAAATATAAGTTGTTTTAACTTTTTCCTGAATCGAATGTATATAGACACGTTTTAGTGTGTTTGTTCACTCATTTCAATCCGTATGTAGTCCATATTGAAATATCCAAAACATCTTATATTTGGCAACGGAGGCAGTAGAATCTAACTATACACCTAGACAGAAGCAAGCAACTAAACAGTATTTCGGCAAGGTAACTTAGAAATGCCGTATGCGTCATAAATCATTTTGGTCTGATAATAAGCTTGTTGTTCATTTGGACAAGGCAAAAAGTGAGTTACTTTTATTTTTAAAATTATTTAAGTTGAAAAGCTTGCACAAGAAACTAAGTACCTGGATTCAAATTACATGCCTTCCTTTGCAAACAATTGCAGCCTTTTGTATGTAATTTTTACATTTACTTGGAAGTGTTCTTAGCATGTCAAACCTTGCACCTTTGTTTTGTTCATTGTGGTGCGACATAGTATGTGATAGTTACACATCCTTTACCTTTTTAACTTTTTAGTAGTAGACACCCTTGACATGCATATGGAAGAAGGTACAAGGTGTATTCATGAATCCTTTTCACTAAGGTTGAAGGAATGGATGTTGGGGTTTCCATGGGGCTGAAGAATAAAAATGGATCGCTCAAACTATTTGTCATGGAATGTGGCTGTTATATGAAAGACTTGGACATAACACTCAATGGAGGATCCTCTTGGTTTTATCAAGGGTACGTGGTTCACAATTTCATATCTGTGAGTACTTTGTCAACTCCTTTGAATAGGGTTTTTCTATATAAAACTCTTGGCATGATATGTATCTGAAGTGAACTAGGGTTTTTCTTTTTGAACGAATTTTAGTGAGATGTTATTTAACCCACATCAGTTGATATATCCTCTTGCTTTTTGTAGATTCATAGATGCTTTTAGCAATCATATCAGATCATCTGTGGAAAATGCGATTGCGAACAAAATAGTGGAGGGTGCATCGAAGCTCGACCTTTTCCTAGGAGGTCTTCCAAAGGAAATTTATGTTGATAGAGTCGCTGCTATGAATGTGACATTTATTAATGATCCACGCTTCAGTAGTTCCTCTGTTGAGTTTGATATAGATGGACTATTTATTCCATCTGATAAAACTGCTCCTCAGAGTGACATGCATTTTGGTGATACCAAACTTGCACCACCTCTTGGCAGCTCTTCAAACATGCTGTGGATTTCATTGGACGAAGATGTTTTCAACTCTGTTTCAGCTCTCTACTTCAAGGTATACTATGATCATTTATCATTGTAAACTTGTTCCTTTTCTCTTCCTATTTCAAAAGAATAGTATTCTTATTGACTATGTGAGTGCAGAGTTGCTAACTTGAACCTAGACGTTTTCCATGCTTCAACTATACTACTACATACCAGTGAGCCTATTCTGATTGATGTGATTACTTTCGTCATTCAGGCTGGTTTACTACAACATATGGTGGACAAGGTTCCCGATCAGTTTCTTTTGAACACTGCTAGCTGGAGGTTTTTGATTCCAAGGTTGTACCGTAAATATCCAAACAAGGATATGCTGCTGAACATTTCTGCTATATCACCTCCCTCTGTGAGGATTAATGTGGGTAGAATTGACACCACAGTGGACTTAGATGTCACAGTAATCGTATTGGGTTCTGATGATAAAGTTCCAGTTGCATGCATATCACTGGTGAGTTTTTCTTCACTGATTTTGTGTGTTCCTATCCTAGTTGTTCAGTTTATGAAAGGTAATCTATTGGAGTGAAATAGCAATGCATATGCACCATCTGGGTGGTATTAAAGTATATCTTCTTATGTTGCTTCAGGCTCTCAATATTTCAACTTTTCACACAATCAAACTAAACTAAACTAAACTATACTTTGCTGTATTGGATAATTGGAAGTTTGTATCTCCATGAAAACATATGCATCTTTCTCAATCTCTTAATGTTATTCTTATTGTAATACATATTGCTTTTGCAGTCAGTTGCTGTTTCTGGACATGCAAGTGTTTCTGGAAATAATCTCGTTGGAAAGGTTGAGTTAAATTATTTCTCGTTCGACTTGAAGTGGAGCGACATTGGCAAACTTCATACTGGTATAGTGCAGGTAATTTTTGCCTCGGCATTTTCAGTTTTTTTGTCTCCCAGTGGTAGGGGCCTTTAATTGCACCCAAATGCACACTTTAGTAAGATGTAGCAGGGGAGATTCCTAATCTAAATGCTAGCACTGAGATGAGCTTGGAAATTGCTACCTCATGTCTAGGAATTATGAAAGATTATGTTATGCTAAGTACTTGAAGGGGCACCATTTTATAACAGAAAATGCCTTCAGAGATGTCCTTAAACCTGACGCTAAAAGAAAAACCAATGGTTACTAATGGAGCTGCACTCATGTTTCATTATACCTAATTTTACTTTACTTACTTGAACATCATTTTTTCCTTCTGGAGTTCTGATACTCTGAACCGATGCTAATCCTGTTAAATTGTCAGAGTCTGATGCGTATCATCCTGAAAAATTTGTTCGTGCCCTACGTGAACTCGTATCTTGGACAAGGTTTCCCGTTGCCCATCATCAAGGGCTTCGTCATAAGAGATGCTTATATCCTCACTTCATACTCAAGCATAATTGTTAGCTCTGATGTTTCCTTCATCGAACCAATGAATAGATCTGGAATAGCAGTTGTTGGACCAGTCAGCAAAGATCCGGTAGTCACCATGAAACAATTAGTATAAACTAATGTACGTTGTGAAGCTATTTCATTGATTGTATCTGTTGTAGTCTGGCATCGGTTGTGTAAACAACTAGTATAAACTAAGGTCCGGCATCGGTTGTAGTCTGTAAGTAATCACCCCTCGATGAAAATCTGTAAATAACCACAGCTGTAACTTTGTAAATGTAAATATTTCCGTGAATCTGGTATGTGAGAACTGACAACTAGTCTGGACCCGCTGTAACACTATGTTTTATACTGGAGAATTAGTTGATGGTTTCAACATTGTGATGTATCCGCGGTTCTTCCATATGACAATTATAATACATAGCCGTTTGTAATCGTAATGTCGTTCGGTCAACTATAATACGATGGGAATTCCCAGTACAATTGACAAAGATAATGAGAAATAGATAACGTACATATACAAATTGATGGATTGTTTTGATACAAAATAATTAGATGCGATTACTCAACGCCCTGATTGCAGATTTGTCACAGCTTTCTTCTCAATGCTGAAATATTGATCACTGACAATGGTCGAGTGGACCATTGCCGAGGGTTCCTCAAGTAAGCTTTCCATTTCTTCAGGATTCTGTTGCACCCATGGATGATGCATCACCTTCCTCAGCCTATCGAGCTTCTCTGCAACTTCCTTCATTGATGGCCTGTTCTCACCAGACATCTCCAAACAATGCTTTGCCAGCTCCGCGATCTCTTCAAGAATCTCCATATTGTCCTCGTCCTTGATCCCATCATCCAACATAACCTCAAGCCTATTCTCCTTCATCGCAGACATAAACATCATTGATAGGCTCTTCTCCTGCCCAAGGGCATCGAGATTAAATGGCTTCTTGCATGTGAGCAGCTCCAGAAGAACAACACCGAAGCTGTACACGTCACTCTTGTCTGTCAACTGACATGTTTGCATGTATTCGGGGTCGAGGTACCCACAAGTTCCTTGCACAAGTGTGACAAACTGGGACTCGTCGGTTGGTGCAAGGATGGAGGCGCCAAAGTCGGAGACTTTAGCTTTGTGGTTATCGTCGAGAAGGATGTTGGAAGATTTAACATCACCATGGAGGATCGGAGTTGAAGCCCCCGAATGAAGGTAGGAGAGTGCCTCGGCAGAGTCATGGGCGATCCCCAAGCGAGTGGCCAAGGAGATGCGCCAGCCATGGTTGCCATGGATGAGATCAAAGAGCGTGCCATTTGGGACATACTCGTACACCAGCATGGGGACTTCCACCTCCAGGCAACACCCGAGGAGCTTCACGACATTTCTGTGGTTGATCTGGGCTAGTATCAGCATTTCTTTGCCGAATTCTTTCTTGTGTTGCTCGTCAATTGTCATGCATCTCTTGACTGCTACTTCAACATTACTCTTGAGAAGTCCCTTGTAGACAGTTCCATGGCCTCCCCGACCAATGACTTGTTTTTCACTAAACCTGTTCGTGGCTTGCTGCAATTCTTCTTCTGAGAAGATTTTGAATGCATCGGCGCCTTGCCGTGACTTCATTTCTTCAAATAATATCGTACCACCGTGTTGCCGAAAGTAGGCCAGTTTCATATTTTGTAGCTTTCTTCTCTCTTGGATCAAGCATGCACAAGCTACAACAATCACAAGGACGACAAGTCCTACACTTGCACCTGCATGAGGTATTTGTTCGAAATGAATTAGTTTCCATGTGTAGTGGCCAGTTATAATAAAAGTATTATGTTGAAGGAAAAGTGACCATCATTTTCTATGAATATGCGTTGTTTTCAATTAAAAAACAATCATGCATTATAACAGCATATTCCATAACGAATCTAGTACTTTCAATTTTATGCTGTCAATTTGTAGTAAAATCTTCAACAGTGATGGTCACACTTCTAAAATGTTTGATTGATAAAAAGAAACTGATCATACTTGTGACGGGAGATATTAGAAATTTGGCCAAACATGACTTGCTTCTAAAGAAAACAAATTAGGCTATCATCTTAGTACAAACTTCCGTATTACTGTACTTCGTAGGTGTCCAACTAATTGCCCACAAGTGTTGTTATTTTGGTGCTCGCCGTACACACGAACTTACCTACAACTGGCATTGCCTGAAAACGGGAAGGCTTTTTTTGAATTGGCACACAAACGCCATTCGTCATATAATTCCCTGGGTAGCATGAGCAGCTGTAGTTTCCCGGCGTGTTCTCGCATATACCGTCCCTGCAAGGATTGACAAGGCGCCGGCACTCGTCTATATCTGGAACCAAACAATCGTTTGTAGTTAGAATTGCTAAACAGTGTATACGATTGATTCTTATGTGAGGTCTTATGTCAATGCACAAGGAAGCAAAAGTGAAGGAACCTTGGCATCCACCGGCGAGGTAAGGGTTGCCTTCATACCCATCAGAGCACTTGCAGCGATAACCTGGCTTGTGGGTGGTGGAATCAACACACGCGCTGTGGTTGCTGACACATGCGTAGGAACTTGTGTTCTTTTTAGCGTCCATGCAAGCCGATTCTGCTATTTGCCAGTTCAGGACAATAGGAACTTTGCCCTTGTATGTATCATAAAACACTGTGGATTTGACATAGTTAATTTTGAAGTTGAAAGCTGCTTTTTCCATCACTGTTATGTAGCTGCAGCTGATGTCTTGTGAATTTTTTGTGTTGTTGTAGTTTTCGTTGAAATAGCCCTCATAATACTGTATGCCTTTGGGGACATCGGCTTGGCAGCAGCCGGCACCAGAACATGTGTTATTTGCCAAGGTGGTGGTGCCCTCACACATGGAGACGCAGCCTATTACATACTGCACGTGGAAAATGTATATGTGATGTCTTGAATCAAACTTACACTAGCAGTAAGTTAAGTGGTCGTTTCTTATTTTGTTTTATACTCTCTCTATAAAGAAATATGTGATCTAAACGCTTTTATATTTCTTTACAGAGTATAACTGGTGGAAGTTCTAGCTGAGACCGCACGAGAATAACCCAAATGAAATGGTGTTTAACAAGAAGTTATTTTCTATAGGGGTGTTCAACAAGAAGTTGTATGGATATCTACACTTGAAGAAAAGATGTGTCGCTGTCCAGCCCCCCTTTACACAATTAGTATAAGCCACAACTAGCTAGAGCATACCCCGCGCCTATCAATGACGGGAACAATTAAAATGGATATTATATTTTAATAATATTTGGTTGTATAAACATGAATATTTAGATTAATAATATAATGCTAAAAGTGAAAAAATACATAAATTATTGTATAATTATAAAGAATTTATTGAATTTACATAGAAAATTGCAATTAAAATACACACAATTATAAATAATTTATTGAATATAAGTAGCATGACATAATTAAAACATTCGAGACTTTTGCATACATGGTTGCATGCTGAGGTGAGCCGTTTTCCATGCCAACGCCAAAGGAGGCGGTCTGGCTAATCCGAGAGGTTGATGGCAGTGTGGTGAAGACGACGCCGGAGCTCAATGTACTCGACCATAGCCAAAGGAGACATGGCACCTTGGATGTCACGTATCCAGGCACATTGATGAAGCCCTTCGGCCATAGTACATGTCTTGCGGCGCCGGCGCGGGACTAGTGAAGCAATGGTCGGCGCAAAATCCAAGATGGATTGCCCGTCCAGCCAGTAATCTAGCCAGGAAGGGCAGGATCTACCGTCCCCAATGGACCATGATGTGGATGCCCGGAAGATGGCACGGGAGTCTGCATCATTCGGAAGCTGAAGGTGAATCCAGGGGCGGGAAGGGTCCGTGCGCTGTAGCCAGAGCCATCGCGTGTGCAGCGCAATCCCAAAAGGCGCAAATCCAGAATCCTGAATGGCATTTGCCAGTTGACCAATCAATGGCCACCGTTGACGTCGTGCCGGCCGTGCCAGAGGAAGTCTCGAATAATGCGACTGATGCACTTGAGGACATGTTGGCAAATCACCATGACCATGAGGAGGTGGGTCGGCATTGCGGTGAGCACATGTCTGACAAGGGCGAGACGCTCACCCCTGGAAAGCATGGATGCACGCCAAGTAGATAATTTCTTCACCATATGATCCACCAGAGGTTGCAAGGCCGAGGCAGGTACCTTTTGCACCGAGAGTGATAGCCCAAGGTAGGGGATGTGGAAGTGTGATAGAGGGCACGCCAAAACGGTGGATACGACCGCGACCTCATCGTCGATGCAGTGAATAGGAGTGGTGGAGCATTTGGCGAAGTTGGTATGGAGGCCAGATGCATGCCCGAAGACATGGAGGATGGAGGGCACCGCGGTTAGCTCGGCCATGCTCGGATGGCATAAAATGGCGACATCATCGGCGTAGAGAGAGAGAGAGAGGGAGAGAGAGGGAGAGAGAGAGAGAGAGAGAGAGAGAGAGAGAGAGAGAGAGAAGCTGAGCGCGATATGGCAAAAGGTGAGCCGCCGGAGGACGCCTGCTTCCATGGCGTGCAACATAAGCGAGTTAAGGGCATCGATCACCGTGGTGAAGAGCATGGGGGCACCGGGTCTCCTTGGCAAAGCCCCTTCGCGTGGGTGATTGGAGGGCCCGAGTTCTGTTAACGAGGACATGGGTGGATGCGGTAGATAGAAGGATAGAAATCCACTCGCACCACCGTCTCCCAAAGCCCAAGTGTCGTAAGACCTCGAGGAGGAAGGGCCATGACACGGAAAGGATCAGGGTCCGGGCTCACGGCACACCAGGCCTCGGAGACCACTTGCGCAAAGCCTGGCATCTTCGGCCAAAATTTCTCAAAGTGGAAACGGTAAGCTCCCAGAGGACGCGGGGCGCAATCCACCATGAGGGGGCAATGGTCGGAGGCCGCAGAAGAGTGGCAGTGAAGGAGGCAACTTGGGTGGGCAGACTCCCAAGTAGAGGTGCAGAGCACCCAGTCGATGCGCACCAAGGTGGGGGCCTCACGCTCGTTGGACCAGGTGTAGCGCCTGCCATGAAGATACATATCACGCAGCTCGAGATTAGCCATAAAACGATGAAAGCGTCGGATGAGGCGCATGTTGAGCTTGGAGT